ACAACAATATTTTAAAATAATAAAAAGTTACAAAGAAGGTCATTTGAATATGAATTCTGATATTTTTCTTTGATTTTTATAATAGAAATTATATTTAAAAAAATGTAAAAATTTATAAAGTATGAAAATTTGCTTATTATATTTATGGTAACATTACAACTGACTTTTTAAAGTGGAAATTAATTTTATATTTATTCTTCTTTTTACCATATTTTTATTTTAATTATTTAATAAATTTAATTAATTAATTAAATTTCATTAATAATAAACGTCAATTAATTTTACGTTTCAACATACTTGAATTATAAAATTTTATTAGTGTCATAAATAATTCTCTTTTGCAATATTATTATTTAAATAAGATATACATTTGTTATTTACAAAATATATACACTTATTACTAGCAGAGTTACTATAACTTGAGTTTGAGCTATCGGTAACAGCTAAATAAAGCTATGTTCCCCTTAATTCTAAATTTAAGCACATATGCATCTGCTTTAATTTCGGACTATTACTATATTGCTCTACATCTAATTAACTTTGTCATTAACAAAAGGTTCAATTAGAATTTAAACTTGATAAAAGGCTCATATTTTTCAAAAATAATTTGATGATTTGCCTTCATCGTTTGTGTGTGTGTGATTTTAACTAAGGAATAAAGATCTTTAACTTTTAATTTTTTAAAAACAAAGTTTTATCGTATATCTCAACAAATGTAAATTTGTCTTCATATTTTTAAAGATAAAACTGTCCGTCAAAGAATAGATTGTCTTAAACTTCTCAAAAAATCTTATATTAATATATAATATTGTTACATTTGAATGCTATAACAAAGAACTTGAGATGAGAAATAAATTCATTAAAGATGCTTTCAAGCAAAACGTATCCAAATAAAGTGATAATGACTCTCACCAATATTTACTACGCCGTGATTTGTGAGCTCCCAGCAGGATTGCAGTTTCAAGATGCTAAGTGCGCTGCTTTGCTTTGCACTGAAGTAACCAAGTGCAGCGTCAGTAACATGATAAGCTTGCAGAGAAAACTCATAGAGGCTCGGCAACAACTGAGCCACAGCGCCGACAGCCTCGTCGGCGACATTGATGCAATCCGACAAAGACAACGACACTATTCTGGGAGTAAGGCATGCCCACAGGCCAGCCTCTGTTATCTCATTGCAGCCGGCCAATTCAAGCTCATACAAAGCCTAAAAATAATGCAAACCAAATGGTAATTAAGTCGATTCGACACGTATCGTGCGCGTCTATACTTGACAAACGTATCTCTGCGTATCTCACAATCTTCTTAATGGGAACTCATTTCTTTAGTTATGGAATTACCTCGTGTCGCAAATTGAATCTTGGTTTGAGTGACACGGCATCTTCCGCGCGAGCGGATTTAACGATTTTTTGTTTTCAAATAAAACCTAATCGAGAATGTACGTCTTATTGCACAATGTTGTTATGCGAATACTGTAATTTTTCGATTTTGGGCGTTATCCGAATTACGAAAAATTGTAGAATCTCTTACAAGCTATACATATACATATATGTATAGCTAGGATAGATAAGCGTTACGATAGAATTACGATAAAATACTGAAAATAAGATCATAGAATTTACCTGCAAATGATCCAAGAGAGTTTCGAGACCTCGGTCCGTCACCGCGCAGCATCGCAATGATAGAGAATGCACGTAACGTTGAGCCAACGGAAAACCGCGTGTTAATTCCGGAATATCTTCGTCGGTCGCACCTAAGAGAACTAACGAATCGAAGCCTCTTCTTACTAAAGAAGCGTAAAGTCGGGTACGTGCGTTTGATTGCATAGCGCGAGCCTCGCGGCATCGCACCACCGGTACCAGCCCCGTCCAAAGACGTGGTCTCGCATACAAAACGTCTCTCCATCTCGTGCAAACCTATGCATATAACGTCATGATAATATCATGTAATTAAATCCATGGACACACACACACACACACACACACACACACACACACACACACACACACACACACACACACACACACGCACGCACACATATGCATATTTGATTTGAAGATGAAAAAGCTGACGTGACGATAATAATGTATCGCGATACAAATATGACTGCGAGGAAAAGTAAAATATCAAATATAAAAGTTAAATATCAATATTGTAAAATTGACTATGATGAACTATGAATATGAAAATTGGGCCACGAGATATTTTTTATATTTTTTAATTGCATGGCGGCAAGTTTTAATTGTATATAATTGAAATACAGAGAATTTCACGCACTTGAGCCAAGATTCTTCTTTCCGTAGCGTTAAAGTAGAGAAAAAATCGTCCAAGGAAGTTATCGTCTTGCATCAACTGTTCCCACGTAATCGGTGGCATGTAACCGCCGGTTCCTCCACTTGCCAGGGGAACGGCTATCTTCATCCTATTTCTGGGTATCCTACTTCTGCTCGGGGTGACGTTATTCAAGCGTTCTTTATTGTTGCCTGCTGGTACGTTGTTAATGGTCTGTGCGGCACTTCGACTGGGCTTTTCGGGCATCGCATTCGCATTATTCGCGCTTTGCAAATTCATGTAAGCGACGCTACCACTGCCGCCGCAGAAGACGTTTGTCACGCGTTCCATCACGCTGGTCTTGCCGCTCCCTGAAAAATTTCAGGCCTTCAGGTTTCAACATTTTCCGTTCGCGTGTTAAAAACTCGTAGAACATAAATTACAGTAACGTTACATCAAGCTTATAATTCCCAATGTAACTGCAGTATATATCGTTGGGAAATTATAATATATATTAATGTAATGTAACGTGACCAATCGTCTCAATTTTAATTTTTAACTCTTCGTCCCACTTTACGCGTGGGTCCCAAATTTTGTTCCAAATTCAGGACATAATTATGAATTGTCCCTTTTTTAAGTGTGAAATATGTATATTTTTCAACTAACGTGATTTTCTCTTAAAAATCCAGATATTATTCATAAAATACTTTTTTTTTTACTAGAAAAGTACAATTAAAAAAAATAAAATGTGAGATCTCGTATAAAAGTTAATATAATTTTTGTTGTGATCTCATGTGTTATACATTACATTAAGTCTTGTTAGTTATTTAATTTACAAATATAATAATATAATATTGTTTATATATGTTTCATTAACAATTATATTTACCTACTAAAATTTAATTAGAACAATTAATATTGAATATTTTTTAATGTCTCTCTCTCCCTTCTTAAGGAGTTGCCCTCAGTGTAATGTTACTGATAGTTCGTGTTCTGCAGGAAGGCAGCAAGTTTGCAGATTAAACAGTAATTGGAATAGCGAGTGGAAAATTCAGAGTTTAAGGAAACGAATGAACTTTAGAACCACGGACAGAATTTGTCTAAGAATTTGCAGAGCTAAAAAAATTTGTGAAAATAAAAATTTGCAAAACAAAGAAGCGGGAAAGTCAAAGGAACGAAAGGATAAAAACAATATATATTGCAGGATTTTGAAAAAAGATTTATACATATACGAGTATGTACTGGATTTTACAAATAAATTTAGAAATTAAGAATTTCTGAAAATATAGACTCTTTATTTTATCTTGAATATTTTATTATCTGCAAAATTCTAAAAGTTGAATTGAAAGAAACTGAAATCTATAAACTTCACAATCGTGAAGAGAGAGAGAGAGAGAGAGAGAGAGAGAGAGAGA